AAAATTCAATGCAATCCCTATCAAAATCTCAGAAAGATTTTTTTTGTAAACAATGACAATCTGTTCCTAAAATTTTTACGGGAATGCAGAAGACCAAGAATAGACAAAATGATTTTGAAAAAGAATAAAGTTAGAGGACTCACACTTTCCAGTTTCAAAACTGAGTACAAGCTACAATAAACAAGACAGCATGGTACTGGCACAAAGACAGACATATACATGAATGCAACAAAATATAGTCCAAAAATAGACCCTTAACTTTATGGACAATTGATTTTCAACAAAGACAACAAGGCAAATCAATAAGGAAAATATTGTTTTTCAACAAATGGGACAACTGGATATCCACATGCAACAAGATGAATTTAGATCCTTATCTCACAGCATATATAAAAAACAGACTTAAATATGAACTGAAACTATTAAAATTTTATTTAAAATCATAGGAGAAAATTTTCAAGACCATAGATTAGGAAAATCTTCTTTACATATGTCACCAAATGCACAATCTATTTTAAAAATTAATAAATTAGATTTCCTCAAAATAAAAAAATATTTTTGAGCTTCAATAGACACCATTAAGAAAAATGAAAACACAAGCAGTAGGCTGGGGGATAACATTTGCAAATCTTCTACAGGACTTATATCCAGAATATATAAAGTACTCTTAAAACTATGTAATAAGAAAACAAGCAATCCAATTCAACATCGAGCTAAAGGGACGAAGTAGAGACACTTCACCAAAATGGATATATGGATAGCAAATGTCAATGCCTTCCAGACCAAAGAGCACCAGCAATGCACCTGTAGTTGAACAAATTGTGTTTATTACTTCTTATAGCAAGGGAGAACATATACCGGGAGAAGTACGGGGAGTCTCAGTAAGTAGATATTAGAGGGTCTAAGGAAGAAGCTGTTTACTCTAGATTGGGTGCTGTCAGAAAGCTGAGGCAACTTTTGGGTATCGCAATAAATCTTATCTATAGGGAAGGAAGACTTAAAAGGATAAAGCTGTAGTTGGTAAAGAAGTAGCAGTTATTCATGATAATCTGAGTAAGGAGAATGTTTGGTATTTTACGGGTCACAGTGTTTTATGTGTTTAGATAAAGCTATGAAGTGGCCTTGCTATGTCTCACTTTATCATGATCCTAGAGTGACTGTCTGATGTTTGTATTCTTTGAGATTGTTTATGTCCAACAGGAGAATAATATAGCCTAGCTAGGAGCCCCAGGCAAGCTTCTAATAACACTGAGGCCCAGCTGTATTAGACCAGTTCCTAGATGTCAGAGGATGCCTTTATGTTGGTGTTGGTGTTGTCATTGTTGTCAGTTCCCCCTTTTCTCCTAGGGCAGATGACATCAGGCCACAGAACTTTAATCCATAAAAATCCTGGATTTTCACCAGATTTTACTGATCAAGATCAGAAGAGTATGGATTAACCATAGTCTATAGTTGAACAAGAGTTAATCCTTTCTTCTCCTTTTGTTGTAGGATGAGTTATTGAACCATCTGACATGACAATGGCTGTGCAATAGCATTAAAGTCTCTGGACAGGGTACATCAGTCAAATTGTAACACAGGTGATTCTCAGAAATAAAATGACTAATGGTCCTTGTAACAAATCTCAAAGCCATAGGCCAAAATTCTAAATTCCAGGCAATTACATCATCCCAGAACCCAGCTGGGTCTCTTTTAGGCCTAGCTTTTTTTTCTTTCAGGCAAGCGACAGACTATTCTACTTGTCCTATAATATTTATATAGGTATAACAAGAACTATTTGCTATAGTACAAAATTTCCATTGTCTAGCCAAGAGGAATTAAGGACTATATGACTGTCCATGATAACTCTAGATAATGAATTATACCAGTTTTTAAAATTATTATTACTGTAGATCATGGATGATCTGCTAGATGGACGGTAATTGTCAATATCTGAAAATCTCTAACAATTACTCCAAATACACAGAATAGGTTAGTGTGCAATAGACAGGGATAAGCTTAATGTCTACACAACAAGTAGTATCCTAGTGAAGCACAGATTACATTGGGTGTATAAGTATCATTTATTGCAACAGGGGTGGGTTAATTTTATGTCCAAGTGTGGTTTCTTTGTGGGGGGTTGAAAATACTCTAAAATGTATGATGTAATGGTTGCACAATTCTGTGAATAGAATAAAACGACCCCTTAATTGTACATCCTTAAGTTGGCAAATTGTATGGCATGTGATATATATATATATATATATATATATATATATATATATATACACACACATATATATAATTGTATATAAACTCAATTTATATACAATTAAAGTATATAAATTAAGTTGTTATTTTAAAATAATAATGAGGTGTTCTACAGATATTAATATGGATGTCCTAAAGGCTGCAGGCAGTTCAGAGAAGTATTATTGGAAAAGAAACAGAAAGAGTAAAAGTATCCTACTGTATAACGGGCCAAAAGAAACATTTCATTGTGATTTTTTAATTAAATATAGGCAATAGATGATAGCTGTTTGTCTTATTGTATTTACATTCTCTTTTTTTAAAGTCTTATGTTTATGTATATTAAGAACACACAATAATATGACCTACAAAATTTAAATATCCAAAAGTTAAAATAAATTGCTGTGACAGAGGACAGAAATATGAAAAAAATATTTTCCTAAACATATTATTTAATTAGTCTTATTAATTATTACTAATTGCTACTGTTACCTAGTCATATTGTCTGTTTTAAATAATAGCATGTGTGTAACAGAAAAGTAAACAATAAAGAAAAACATAATTTTAAATGAATAAAAATAAACTGAACATCTATTTTTATATTAAAGCAATAACATGTGAGCAATTATTTATTATATATTATGGGTCTTTTCATCTAATACAGCTATGTCCCAGGTTGCTCTCTTAAAAATGGTCACCCCAATGGTATAGTACCATTCGGGTGAGGGAACAAGATATAAAGAAGGTAATATTTGTAAATTACACACACGATAAACTGGTAAAAAGTGGTGCCTTCTGTGAAAAGAGAAATGAGTGGCTAGAACAAGCCAGAGGTTTTCCTGTCTCGTTTTTTAAATATACTTTTTAAATGAGTACCTTGTGCATGTGCTACCTATTCAAAAGGGAGAAAATTGTTATTAGTCTCACACAGAGGTTGTCCATGGTGAGTTCGGAAAGGTGCTTACAGAGCATGGGTATCACAGTTCCCACTGGAAATAATATGTTAAGAACATGAGGATCTTGGGGAACCTGCTTCAAGTTCAAGATGGGTGCCTCGAAGATGATGGATTCAGACAAGTTCAACAAGGTAAGCTTGTGTCAAAAACTGAGGGGCCTGCTAAGCTCGAGAAACCAGTATGAATTTTTGCATATATGAGGGAAGCCATTATAAGGATTTAAGGAAAGGAATACAATTATTTGATTTATGACTAAGAGATTCCTCTGGTCGTGTGAAGAATGTGGTGGAGCACAATTTTGGGGACCTATTTCTGTAGTCTTAGTGAGTAAGGCTGTCGGCTTGGACTGTTAGCATTGTAGCACTGGATGGGGATGGGGAGACACAGGTAGACTTTGGGAGACACAGATAGATTTTGGGAGGTCGCCCTGACAGGACTCGCTGTTAGACTGAATGTGGATTGTAGGGGAAAGAACATAGTATGGCTGACTGCTAAAGTGTCTTTCCTAGAATGGAGAATTCTAGGCATATTGCTGGATTGTGGAGGAATAACAGAGTTCTCTTTGGGACACTTTAAGCCAGAGACAGTTAATTGATGCACGTTTTTCTTAAGTCACTCAGGCTGTTCTGTGGAGAGTGGGGAGGGAAGGGCATCTGGGAGGCAAGTGGGGGCCCTGGGTGAGCCTCAGCAGGGAGACAGAGAGGAAACTACTCAGGGCCAAACAAGGGTGGAGGGGCTCCAGCAGAGAATCTTGCAGGTGGTCAAAGGCTTCAGCTTTTCATCAGTATGAAATGGGCAACCTTGACAGGGCTTCAAGTATGACCAGAGCCGACCAAAGGCTTGCTGTGTGGAGAGCAGGATATAGGGTAGAGTTGCCAGATTTAGCCAATAAAAATACAGAACACCCTGTTAAATGTGAACGTCAGATGAACAAATAATTTTGTAGTGTAAGTATACTCCGCGTACAACTTGGGAGATACTTATGCTAAAAGTGTATTCAGGAGCCAGCTGAGTGATTCAGTTGGTTAAGAGCATGAGCTCTGAGCAACAGGGTCACGGGTTGGATTCCCACATGGGCCAGTGAGCTGTGCCCGAGCTGAGATGGTGAGAGGCATGCTCTTAAAAACAAAGTTGCCGGTTAGACTCCCACATGGGATGGTGGGCTGCGTCCCCCTCCCCCCAACTAGATTGAAAACAGCAACTGGACTTGGAGCTGAGCCGCGCCCTCCACAACTAAGATTGAAGGACAACAATTTGACTTGGAGCTGATTGGTCCTGGAAAAACACAATGTTCCCCTTCCCCAATTTCCCAACACTGTTCTCCTCCCCAATTCCACAATAAAAAAAAACAACAACAAAAACAACAACAACAAGAAATGAAAATCCATGTGGCTAAATCTTTTTTTAAAAAAATGTATTCAGTATTGATCTGATATTCAAATTTAACTGGTGTTCTGCTTTTAACCAGGGAACCCAACCATAGGGGCAGGTGGAGGCAGGGCTCCTGCAGGCATTCCAAGGAGACCCAAGGGGCCAGGGTGGCAGGAAGGGAGGTGTGAGGAGGGGCCCCAGAAAAGGCAAGGGTGGCCCATTTGGTGCCCTTTTCCGGAGAACAGCTCTGGAAAGACGAACTTCTTGGCTCTTCCAGGTGTTTGCAGAAGGGGGTTGGCCGAGGGCTTCTCCGGAAAGCGTTTACCCGTTTCTTCTACTCCTCTGGGGGGTGGGCCGACTCCGCCTCAGCCTCCCTGGGGCCGAGTAGCGGCTGGGAAGAGGCGGCCGGAGGGTGTGGCGCAGTAACCCCGCCTTCCGCACCCCGCAGGGGTGGAGCCTGAGCGAGGAGCCTGCGAACAGCCTTCTCTCCCCGGATTACTAGTGGCAGGAGAACATGGAGTCGAGCAAGATGGCGCCTCCCAAGAACGCTCCGAGAGATGCCTTGGTAAGTGCGAAGGATGAACAGCGGGTCGCGAGGCACCGCGCGGCCAGAGACCTGGGAGGCAGGCCCAGGCCTAGGGCCTGAGGATGGGCTCGCGTGCTGACTTCAGCCCAGCCGAGGCGGCCGGAAGGAGTGTGAGATGGGGGTGCCCTGGCTTCGGGGCGCTCTCCCGCCATCCCGGCAGCCCCGCCGGAATGCGCAGGCCAGCCGCCCGGCTTTGTCTCCTGGGCCTCGGGTCCCGGCCGCCTCGTCATGTCGCCTGGCCTGCGAACCCTGACTCTCGCGTCCAGGGTTCTGATGCTAGCTTTCCCATCGCCACATCCAAAAATGACAACCAGCTGTAGCCACCCCTACCTCTGCTGGGAAAGCCAACCGGGGCCTCTTCGCCTCCGCCCCAACCCCTTGCGGAAAAAAATAAGTTTTCAGCAGAGGGTACGAAGGGATTCGGTGTGATCCTGACACTCACTTGGGAGGAAAAGGATGAGCACAAGTTTGGAGCCCGGAGAAGGGGGACCCTGTATCATAAATATAAATACTACCTTCGGTCCAGTCTTGATTTCCAGTACCTAGATTATAAATCTGGCGTTTTTATTTGAATCCACAGGTGATGGCGCAGATTCTAAAGGATATGGGAATTACTGAGTACGAACCAAGGGTTATAAATCAGATGTTGGAATTTGCTTTCCGTAAGTTGACAGCACACACACACACACACACAAATTTGCCTAACTTGTGAATTTGAAAAGATCCTTTTTATTCTAAGAACATTTTCAACTAAATTACTTTAACAGTTAATATCTTAGAATTCAGCCTAAAGCATTAAAAAGGAGCTCAAGCTAGGGGACAGCCATATTTATACTGTGGTATCCTTTTAAAATTGATCAGATAGAATGATTAGGTATTAGAACAAAAACTCATCAACTTTCTAGGAATTAATGGAACGTTCCATTAAGAAAAGTGGCCATAAATATTAAGCTGTTTCCATATGTTTAAGAAAATAATGTTTTGTTCTTAAAGGATATGTGACTACAATTCTGGATGATGCAAAAATTTATTCAAGCCATGCTAAAAAACCCAATGTAGATGCAGATGATGTGAGACTGGCGATCCAGTGCCGCGCTGACCAGTCCTTTACCTCTCCTCCCCCAAGAGATGTGAGCATAATTTTTTTTTAAGATTTTTATTGGGGAATTGGGGGATGGGAACAATGTTGGGGAATTGAGGAAGGGGACCAGACAAGTTGCTGTCATTTTGTTCTTCAGTCTAGTTGTGGAGGACTTTGCTTCACTGGCCCAAGTTGGCACCATCATTACACTCTTCCCAGGCGAGACAGATCAGTCGCAGGCTTCTGGACAGCCGCTCACGCTGGCTGCTGGTTACACATGGTAGCCCATAGCAACTCACTGCCACAGGGCCTGCAGCCTACACCTGTTGCGACTCACAGCAACTCAGCTCCAGGTTGAGCTGTTGTTCAGCATCTTAGCTGTAGAGGGCAGTGTCACTGGCCCTCATATGTGGGATCCAAACCGGGGCCCTCTGGCGTCCCAAGTCAGTTCTTAACCAACGCGCCACTCTGCCGGCGGCCCTGAGCATACTTTTATTTAAAGTTCATTTTACTCATAATTTTTCCATTGAAGTTCTTATAAGGATTTTTTTTTTTTAGTTTTTACTGGATATTGCAAGGCAGAAAAACCAAACCCCTTTACCTCTGATTAAGCCATATGCAGGACCCAGACTGCCTCCTGACAGATACTGCTTAACAGCTCCAAACTATAGGCTGAAGTCCTTAATTAAAAAGGTAAGAAATTTGTAAAGAGCGAATGCCTGTAGATAGTGTAGTAGATTCAAGTCTAAGATAATTTACTAAGATATATATATATATTTTTTTAATTTACTACCTCAGAAATACTGTGTCTACAGTTATTTGCTATGTTAAAATACAAAATGTAAGACCTAAGAGTTTTAGAGCTAAAAGGAACTTTAGAGTTCATGTTAACTCAACACTTATTTTTCACACCAGGAAACTGAGCCTAAACTCATCTGTGGAGTTAGTAGCAAAGCTAGGGCTGATTCCCAGGTTTCATCACTCCCAACCTTTCCACTTGAACATAGTTTTTTTAGTGAAGCTCAATAATAGAGTAAATTATATACCATCAGAAATTAGACTTGCTTTCTGAAATATGACCTAAGGCTTTCCTACCACTGAAAAAGTTCTCCCCATATTGGGCTCCCTTTGTTGTCTGAAGTTCCACTATAAGAGAGTTTATTTCTTCTTGGGTTAAGATGTTGATTAGTTAAGATTGAACATGATAAGGAAGTTAGCCGTTATCCCCAAAAAGAGATTCTACGTTAACCTAAGTATTATATAGAACTATATGTGTGTATGTGTGTGTGCGTCTACATAAATGCACATGCACACATCTGTGTGAGAAACTCATATTTGTGAAAAATATATTTTAAATGTTAGATTTAGAACACGAATAGAACAAAAACAGGACATTCTTGCCATGGGTTGTCCATTAATAATTCATATTAACAATCCTGATTTCATTCCTGGTAAGTTTAGGTGTCAAATCTGAACATTAAAACTAATTTGTTTGTTAAATCCTCTAGGGACCTAATCAAGGAAGACTAGTTCCACGGTTAAGTGTTGGTGCTGTTAGTAGCAGACCCACCACTCCTACTATAGGTAAGTGAGAGAGGGAAATTCCTTTTCTGGCTGGTAAAGAAGTGCCTCAGCACTTGATTTTGAACTATAATCCAAGTCAGAAGGTGAGTCAGAAATTCCCATATGTGTGTTGACATTGATAGTTTACTCATCCTCTAGTAAAGCTATAGACATAAAGTATTTTACCAGATTTCAAAATGAGAAAGCCACAAGGAGTATCTGATCCCCAATGAATATAGGTTTAGACATTACCCATCATTGTTGCTGGTATAAAGTATGATACCAAAACCAGTTTAAGCTGTGTTTTTTTCTGCCTTCTATACAAATGAAGCTGCCAAACACACTCATGGCAATAGCCAACTTACCAGTAATTAAAGAAATTTCTGAATAAATTGGCAAGAGAATGCAGTCAGAAGAAAGAAGTTTAAATGTACAAAAAGCTTAAGGATATCAAAGAAAAAACTGTTCTTTTTTAGTACTAACCTTTCCAAAAGTAGTGTTGATTGCCCTGTACTGATCAGTGGGAGCCCCTTCATCTGTGCCCGTCGGTCTCCATCATTGTTTGAGCATTTCTTGCTTTCTGGCACAAGATGTTCCAAATTCATCTTGTATATATTTTTCTTATTAAATGTATTGGGGTGACATTGGTTGGTAAAATTATACAGGTTTAAAATGTAATTTAAATAACGTATCACCATATATTTGACCCTCTTTTCCCTCTTCTACCACCACCTCTCCCTGCTTGCCCTCTGGTAACTTATATTTTCACCCTAGTCCCAGAATCAGCCATTTCTCCGAAGTGCGCTGGTTCCTTTTAGTGGAGAAGGGTATTTAGAAACCATTATTTGTGTCTTTTTAATGTCATTGTTTAGGTAATAAGGAAAACATAAATAATGGATTTAGGTTTCCTATCCTATATTCCTGCTGGATGTCTTTCATAGTCAAAGTATTTTCAGAAACAAACAAACAAACCCTTCTCTTTGACCAGTATTGTTTTTTGGCTCTTATTGCTTATAACTTTAATCCTGTAGATGTCATATAGGTCTAGTGTAAGCAGCATTTGATTTTTGAGGTGTGTAGACCATCTCTTCATATTCTTAGGATGTGAATTTACATTCCAGCATTTTTAAACCAGTCTGGTATAGTATTACTTGTGTACTTCTAGTTACCTGCATGTGACCTTTGTGGACAGAAATTTGCATATATAATTTGTATAATTTTTGATCATATACTGTTTATCTGTGGATTCATATTACTTAAGTGAATACCAACTTTTTAAAAACCTCTAGACTATGGTAATCAGTTATACGTGTTTGCAAGTTAACCAATTTTAGTTATCAATTGTGATTTTTATTCCTGATTAGATATTTATTGTACATGTTTTAGAGATTTTTAAAATCTAGAGTTGAGGGAGCTGCTGAACACTACTATTAAACATACAAGTTTTTAACTTAAAAAAATTCAATGAGTTTTATAAAGCATAAGACCTAAGTAAGCATCTACTCTGTTCAATTTTGAAACCTAAACTCCTTACTTAATTAAATGTTAACAACTCCTTATGGTAATGGCCAAGAAAACATCTACCTACTGTGAATTTTCTTGACAAAATACTTACATTGCTTCATTAACCTTCACCAAATTCTTTGGACCATTTCTTAACACATGGGAAAACTTGCCTAGGAATGGAGATATATTCAAGTCTCACCTTTGTGAGAGAAAGCACTAGAACCCAGATTCCTGGATACCTTTGGGCTTTCTTTCCCCATGTAGGCTTTCTTCTCCTTTGTCCCTGGAGATGATGATAGTTGTAGCTTCTTTTAGTAACTTTCTCCTCTGGGAAGACTGCTGGTTCCAGGGGGAAGGGATGTATAGAAAGCCTGCATCCCCAAAGGAAAAACTAGGAACAGACACATTTTCATAAATGCATTTTTGAGAGCTATGTCGTCAGTATACATACTGAGTCTTTGAGTCTTGCAAAATTCATTCATCAAGCAAACATTTGAGTGCCTGTTACGAGCAAAGCACAAAAGCCATGTGCTGAAGGGTAAAAAAAAAAGTTAACCGAGGCTTGTAATTTACCAAATGAGATAAGACACTAATAATAAGGCTCCTATAATGTATTAAAGGAATTTCAGAGGCAGGCAGTCACTTCTGAACAAATAAAAAATTTTACAAAATGGGGTGGTATTTTGAGTTGTACCTTGGAGTAATGTGTGGAATTAAGATGGGGGTGGAGAGGGTTGGACTAGGTTATCTCTAAGATCCCTTCCTGCTTAAAAAATTTCGATATAGAAAAGGAAAATTATTTCTTGTGCCTACCTGGGGACCCCAAAGGGTGTATTTGATGCATGCTGATTTAGCTTCATGGACCTAGTAGACATCTTCTCATTCTCAGCAAGTGAGAGATTAAAAGTGCCACATAAGGAAATTAATATAAAACTTGGGTCTTTACTCTGCTAGATTATTTAAACACTCAACTTCATGACATCATTTAGCTAAAATCCAGTGCCAGTTGCTGTTTGAAGAGCTTTACAAGAATTCTATGAAGTAGATACTGTTGTCCCCATTTTACAGATGAGAAAACTGAGGTACAAAAATCAAATAACTTCCCCAAGGACACTCAGCTAGTAGGTGATAAAGCCTGCATTCAGACACAAGCAGGTAGGCTCCAGAGCCTACATTCTTTACCACTACACTATCCTGAAGTTTTAGCATCTAAACTACTAAGCTTGTAAACATTTTTTGTTTGCTCTTATTTCAAATGTTTTTCTTCTCACCTGTCGTTAGTTCCCTTTGAAGGTAGTTTCTGTTATCTAAGGAGGGCAGAATATTAAGCTGTATAATGGGTCATCTAACTAATATGGTCTGTTAATTACAACTACAGCAACCCCACAAACAGTGTCTGTGCCAAATAAAGTTGCACCTCCAGTGTCAGTGACAAGCCAAAGATTTACGGTGCAGATTCCACCTTCTCAGTCCACACCTGTCAAACCAGGTAATGTGATGGGCAGGCAGAGGGTGGGGAATGTTGTAAGTGGTTCTTTTAAAAGATTTTTTTCTGAATTTTAAAATTTTTGAATAGTTTGTGATTATAGTAGTTTGTGTTCCTATAGCAAGAGTTAAATTGCTTTAGTATCATAACAGGAAGCTGGCAGTGATGCTGAAAATATTCAGGGGGGGGTCCTATGACCCCAATAAAAAATTATATGAAATTTTACATATGTGTAATGTTTGGTCGGGGGAGAGTATTTGGTGTGATCATCAGATTCCTGAAAAACACTGTGAACCAAAATAATTTAGAGTCCACAAATCTAAGACATCTTCAGAGAAAAGCACTTAGGATTAAAGCTAAAGAAAATAATACAACTTAGTGTACATCAAATGAAAATTGTACCTTTACTCACTTCATGGAAGGAGACATAAAGTTGGAATAATATAAGTAGAATTCTGTTATAGCATAGTTTATTAATGCATATGTTTAGATTTCACATCTGAAACTTAACCACACACAATAAACTACTTACATGAAATATTGGCCTATTAAGGGAAGCATGATTCCTCACCTTGAACATACATATGCCTTTAGTATATGCCACGAATGCAGTGCACGTCTTCCCATGACTAAGTACTAAGTGTGAAACTTTAGGTAGTTAAGTTCAAAACCAAAAAAACTAACAGAACTCCTGTAACCTTGTACTAGATACTAATTTAAAGTATTAAAAAATTAAACTTTTAATGCAGTATAATTACCTGAGTTTCTTCTATGATGTAGTTGTACTTCATGCTATTAAAATTATTAGAATTACATTCAGCTTTGTTGAATACTTTTTACCATCTTTCTAATTCTGGGTAATTCATAGTTTGGGGGTGTTTTCTCCTCTGTTTACAGTTCCCGCAACAACTGCAGTTCAAAATGTTCTGATTAATCCTTCAATGATTGGGCCCAAAAATATTCTTATTACCACCAACATGGTTTCATCACAGAGCACGGCCAATGAATCAAACCCATTGAAGAGAAAACACGAAGATGATGATGACAATGATACTATGTAAGGAATATAGTCGTCTAGATGCATTTCAAATGTGTAGTGGTTTTTGAGTCTGGTATACTGAACTAGAATATTCTAGATCTTCTCAAGTTTTATCTTAGAGAACTTAAATGTAGCTGCAATATTTTTCACATTAGTTTAAACTGTTAGATTTCATAAGTAAGGGCGCCACTGTTTTTCCATTAGGCTTCAAAGTATAAAAATTTAAGCACTTGTTTCTTAATAGTTTCACTAATGTTGAGTCCTAAGGTGGCAATTCTATTTTTGGAAGCAGTTTTCTGCCATGTATCACTGACACTGGCACTGAAGTTTCAGTTTCTACAGCCTGATCAGTGGACTAATCTTTAAGAGTAGTTTCTAATCTGCATTTAAATACTTTCTTTTGTAAGGTAACAGTCACTTTTGTTACCAACTTTTTGACCAAATTTCTCAATTTAGGAAACATTTTTGGAGAGGATGGATTTAGAGTGATTCTAAATCCATTTTGAATGTATTTAACTGGTTTCTTGGTGTTCCCTAACCTCCTACCTCCTCAACCCCGTTTCTAGATCCCATTTGTTTTCTGTACCATCTCCTCCCCATAGGCTTAAGTTTCTTCCCCTTGCTCTTAAAAGGCCAAAACTGGAATTTTAAAAATGTCATTCCTGAAAATACAGATTAGTGTCATTTTCATATTTTTTAAACTTGCTTTACATGTCTGATGTTCTATGGTTCACTTTAACCTGAAGGTTTGCATTTGCTTTTTCCCTCCATACCAGAGCAGTTGAGTTTTATCCCTTGCCTTTTATGCCCAGCGAGTTTTACTCTGCCTTTGACAAGTAGTTTTGGGTCCGTTAACATTCAGTTTCAGTCTTATATTCCAAGTTGATAACGCTACCTGATTTCACATTTCTAAATTTAACATAGATGATGCTATAGCTTAAAATCTGACTTGATAAGTGATAAGTATATTTACACTGGACCTAGGCAAAACCACTGAAGAGCAAGTGTTTTCTTCCTTTTTACCACACACATATATGCTTCGATCACTACTGCTTGAACCCTCCTCCTATTGGTAGAATTCAGATCATTTTTCTGGCTAGTTGATGAGGATGTCACACTGAAGATACGATCAAACCTGAATGTTTTCTAATGATTTTCCTTCCTCTAGAAAGCCAACAGCAAAAACAAATTAGTGTGATATGACTTGCACTTAAGTGCACTCTGCATAGGTTTACCACTAATGTTGTAATGTTACTAAACACTTTCCCCTTTTTTCCATTTATACACATCTAAACATCTTACTGCGAAAGATTGCAAAGCTTTCAAAAATATAAACAGGCTTGTGCAGTTTTTGTTTAAGTTTAACATATTCAACATAGGAATACTTGCAAAATTTTCTAAAATGTATTTTCATACATAATTTAGAACTTGTAGCCAAGGATCCTCAAAACTTAAAATACAGGTTTCATCTTAGGATGGTGCTTGATGCATCCAACAGAAATAGTCCAGTAATGGAAGAAATGTCTCATCACAGTTTGTTTTTGGATGTTAGGAAAAGGTGGTATCAAACTTATAAAAACAGATCTGATGAATGTCATAGGAGAAATGTTCATTATATATAGCATAGGATATCATTACTTGAATGTTCTCAGGGAGGCAGCATGTCTAAGGCCTAGGTTCTAGTCCTGGCTCTATCATTTACCAACTGTGTGACCTTACTTCACCTCTGAGCCTTGTTCTCCTCACTAGTAATAGGAAAATAACACCGACCCTGCCTACCTCACAGGGATGTTGTGAGGGTTTAATTGGTATATGTGAAAGTTCTTTCAAAATTGTAAAATGCTATATAACTAAGAAATTGTTAATGTATTTGTTCTGAGATTATTAATAAAATTAAACTTATAGTTTATCTTTTGTTTTTTACTTGAGGGATTCAAGGAAGATAAACAAGGCCCAGTAATTCTGAGGTCCAAAAAGCAATTAAGATTTGTTTAATGGATGAATTACTTATAAATCAGGGAATTGCTTACTTTTGTTTAGAATCAGCCTGTGACTCATCATAGTGAAACAAAATAAAAATGAAAGAATATGGATTTAAGTCTATTAAAAACATAACATGCTGTCTTCGGTGGGAATCTGTAGATATTGGTTACAATCTGAGTGTTCATTTACTTACTACGTCAGTGAGTGGTTTGCTCTTTCAGATGAAGACTGCTTTATCTTGCAGACCTCCCTTCCCTAACTACGCTCACCTAATCTAACTTCAAGAATGACTTAAGGCAGCTCTTGTCCTCCAGCGTCTAGGTGAAATTTTTAAAAAGATGTACTGGTGGTAATTGGGGTGCGGACATTGTTGTCCCACGTTCTTCCTTTTACAAGGAGGAAACACGTCTTTGAATATAGGAATATAGCCAGCATGCGGGAGAATGGAAGATGTAATGCACACTATGGTCTAAGGAGTCCAGAGTGAAGGGAAGTACTCAGTAGGTAGGGAAGAAAATACTAATCAGAATAGCAGGTGTGCAATATGCCACCATATATATTTTAATATACTTATATGTACATACACACATGGCTATGCTTTTTATATGCATTAAGTAATTCCACAGTGAAGGAAACCAGCCTTAGAGTGGTTCTTCTAAGGAGAGAACCTGGCAGCTAGGGGATTGAGTTAGGAAGGAATCATCTCATTGTATACCCCTTACTGACTTTTCTATTATGTGCTAGAGGCAAGTTTTGGACATAAGAAGGAAAGGAAGGGAAGCAGAAACCCTGGAGCTAAAGAGATTTTGTTTATGACATGATTATAATTTTCTTCTGTATGCAGGCATACATATATTGTATGGGAGTTAAAAGTGAATTTGCTACACTTAAGCCTAAACTTTATCAATAATTCATGATTCTATATTAAGTCAGGAAGCACATCTCCTTGTACTATTCCAGTTCATATGCTCACAAATTGTTATATCCCTCTCAATTGGGTTGTAAATTCCTTTAGTACATCAGTGCTATATTATATTCCCTCCATTATGTCCTAATCTTATAGCAGGTACTCAAATATTTGGCTATTTGCATTTCTCCATTCATTCTCTGAATTAATGACCCAAATAAATGGGAAAGACTGTGGAAGCAGAGTCTAGTAGAAAGTACTTAGAAGGTACAATCAGGGATTGTAGGATAGATGAATTGGCAGTTGTAGAGTCTAAGTGCTAGGGTTATGGGTGATTACAAATTTTTTTCAGTTCTTCTTTACATATGAAATAATAATGTATGGGGAAAGGTAATCAGAAGGGGGAAAAGTCATCAGTATGCTCAAGTTCTGGCCCAACTTAAGACATTAATTTGGTGATCTATGGGTATCATCTGGGTCTCATCTGCAGAAAGATTGGACTACAATTTCTGCTTCCCAAACCAGGGCATAGCATACCATTGGGTATGCAGAAACACAATGCATTTTAAAATTAATTATAATTATATGGACAGTTTTAATTAAAATACAAATGAATTTTTAAGAAAAATGTGAGCCTTAAAATTTTTTGTATTGTTTAAAGCAGCCACCAAATTTTTCTTTTGCTGTTCTCTCTAGAGTTAAACAAAAAAGTCCTAGTCTAGAAACATCATTTCAGGGAGTGAGGCACAATGAAAAAGCACCAGCCTTTGAAATCAAACAAACCTGGACTTGAATCCCTGCTGTTACTCTCTAAATCTGTGATCCTGTCCAAGAGTTCAACTATTACTTTTCTTTATCCATAAAGGTGAAATACATATCTAGTATGTAAAATGCCCAACAGAGAAATTCTGGTTAAACATGGCCTTTTGAAATCACTGTTTACCTCTGCTCACTCTGGAAACCCCATTAAAATGACAGGAAAGGGAAAGGAAGGGAAAATTACAAAGATAATAAAAGAATCAGAATGTCATTAGAATTTCAGCAATGACAATGAAGCAAAGCCTTCAAGTCTGAGAAACTGATACATAAGCTGACATTCTGTAAATAGCCAAGCAGGCTAGTATAGGAATTGAATAAGCATAATTTCAGATATAAGTCTTAAAATTTTGCCTCCCAGGCACTCTCTCAGGAAACCCAGAGCGGTTTCCTCTTAGGAAACCCTAGGGGCAACAGCTGTACAGCAAACCTAGAGGGCAGCCAGAACAACTGGAACGGGAGCACAGAGGACTCCAGCAGGAACATCTCTAACAAAAAAACGAACACCTCATATGTTTGAATATATTAGGAATGAATCAGTGCGAGGCACATAGAAAAAAATAAATTTTCTAAGCTATCAGTAACTCCAAAGAAAATAAAAAGGTACATAAGTAAATAGAATAAGCATACGATAAAGCTCAGCTGTGAATAGTATTTACAATCATGGTGTAATCTAACCTAGAATTATGACAAAACTATATTGAGAGAATGAAACGGTAATATTGTGGAACAGAGGCTATAAGAGAGCTAAGTCTTTCCATGCATGAAATAGATATCTTTTTTAAAAAAATTAAGACATTAATAGCATATGCATGTTACTTAGAAACATGGATGTAAATATAAAAAAAAAAGCTGAGTTGAAAGTGGTCACCTCTGGGGAGTGGGAATCACAAATGGGAGAAATGGGAGAATCCCAAATGTTACAAGCCTTGACTTTTTAAATTACCATCATGTGTAACAGATAAAAATAGAATTTAAAATAAAGTACCTATCACAATGTCTGTCATAAAGTGGGACCTCGATAAAAGAGTAGACATTTATCTAATCCCCCCCACTTCCCACCACTGCTGCTCCATTTCTTGAATACAGAAAATGTGGATGACTTGATCCCTTCAAGAGTCTGTTCTCACCCTAACAAAGCATGACAGGAAAAAAATCCCAGTTTTGATGGATACTTTTATTATTTATTTCATAGATCACCAACTTCATCTCCCTCCCTCCCTACAATTGTAATATCATCTTGTTTCCATGCGGAGTAGCGAAACAATAACAAAGCTAATCAGAATTAGCTACTCCAAAAGGAGAACTAGGCCAACAGCTGACTTTCTTTCAACAGGCAAATACAAATATATGCACTCTAGAATGCACAATGTTTAGTCACTAAGAAATTCAAATGGCATCTTGGAGAATGTAAGCAAATCCAGGGTGTTGTAAAGATGAGCTGAGATGCTGTGCAACTGGATTAAAAGGTTCCTGGTGCTGCATCTCTTGGCCACTAGCTGAATCTTGACATGGGGGAAGATTTTAGCTAATACTGAGTGGAGATGCATAAACCACTAAATTGACTTAGGGGATGTACACAGGAACCAAACGGCAGGAAAGTACTAAACATTGCTGAGCGCGTCCACCCCAGGAAGGACTTTACCTGTTTTTGAGAGAGCACACAGAGACAGCATTACTGTAGGATCCGCCAAGCCAGACCTGCCATGTTTTCTGTCTTCTCAATCACATGTCAGCTCTTCTTAAGGACATATGGCCAGGAGTTGGGTAACTGACATTTTGGGTCCTAGGTCAACTAGAGTGTAACCTCTTTGAGAATAAGTCTTCCTGTCTCCTCCTCCCCACCTCACATGGATGCCAGGGGCTTTATTTGAAGTTCTTCCATTTGTACTGCCCAGCTAAAAATGACTGCTGATGACAAGACTACCTACTATCTCCACTCCATTCTACCCACTTCTCACTGTATAACCCCTATCCTTCCCCCAAACAATCCAAAAACCAGGGAAGAAACTCACCTTCCAGGAGCTCTAAACTGGCACCACCGCCAGTGCTCACATGGCTGACTTTATCCTCCGTGTTCCATTTGGCACAGCAAGTGGCAGTGTCTCCACCACCTGTTGAATGAAAGCCAAGTAAAAAGGGGAAAGAAAAGAAAAAAAAATGATTGGCACCAAAACTATAGGGCAGTGTGCTCTCAAGCCCAAATGGTAGCTGATGAACCCCCAACTCCATCTCATTAGGAGGCTCTTCCATGAATTACATACCTGTTTAGTTTTCAAGATTTAAACAGTGCCAAGAAACCTAGGAAACGTTATCATTTCCCTTCTACTTTCCTCTAATCAGAATTCTGCCAGCTCCATTGGCATTATCTTCATACAGGACCCCTTACCTATGATGGTGATGCAGCCCCTGGAAGTGGCTTTCACCACCTCGTCCATGAGGGCTTTGGTCCCTCGGGCAAAAGCTTCCCATTCAAATACGCCCACAGGTCCATTCCACACAATCTGCTTAGCCCTGGCGACAGCCTCAGCATACTTCTTGCTGCTCTCAGGACCACAGTCCAAGCCCTACGGGGTAGAATCAAAAGAGAGGATGAGCTACCAAGAAAAGCTAGTTAGAGAGGCAAATACCACCTTCCACCAAGACCGGAACTCAAGGCTGAACACCAAAGTTTTTTCTAGAACCAAGATACCCTTCAGTCCTTTAAAAACCTGTTCATGCCCTTTATGGAAGATCAAGTCTAAGGGAAAACCTCAAAAGTTATTTGTTAAAAACATTGTTAGCCACACTACAATGATTATGATGAACTAGATCAGTGGTTTCCAACCAGAGTCAATTCTGCTCTTCCCCAGGGAGCATGTGGCAACGTCTGGAGACATTTTTGGTTGTCACAACTTGCGGGGGGGTGGGGGAGGGAGGCATGGGTTCTACTGGCACCTAGTAGCCGAAGATGCCTTAAACATCCTACAATGCAACAAAAGCCCTCCACAACAAAACAAAACCTACCTGGGATGTCAATAGTGCTGAGAGTGAGAAACACTGAACTACTGTAGATCAGTGCTGCTCAGATTTTGGTGTACATCAGAATCACCAGGAGGCCTTGTCTGAGCACAGACTGCTGGACTCCACCCCCCGAGTTTCTGATTTATTAGGTCTAGGCTGGGCCCCAAGAACTTGCTTTTTTTTTAACAAATTCCAAAATGATGCTAACGCTGCTGTTCTTGGGACCACACTTTGAGAAACACTGAACTAAACAAAACTCACATGACTATCAAAAGGAAAGTGACTAAGCAAACTAGTATGTCAACATGATACAATTTTATACAGCTATTAAAATGGTAATATATGAAGAACATTACACTCAACTATTGAAATTAGTCTTTAATA